CATGACCAATTTTCTAAAGAGGTAACTAGAAAAGAATAAATTATTTTCATGAAGCCACACTGTAAGTTAGAGGCAAAGCAAGCATGTGTGTGTTGGGTACCTTCATCTTGCCTCTCTTCCTGTCTTCCCTTAGAGTCATCAGCCCTAATAACAGGAAAGCCAAGACTCCAAAACAGGACTCCTGACTCCAAATCCTACATGATTTTATTGTTCTTTCCCCATGATTTCCTGATGATCTTAAAGGCATCATTTTAAATGCGCATGTCGCTTTTTCTAGAAAAAAAAATGAGACAGGTGTTTTTCATTTTCTGGACCTGACTTCACAAAAGGGAATCCATTAATTAAGATTCCAGATGAAAACTGTCCTCCACATCTCTTATTATCTCTCCCCTAGACAGGTCATAATGACTCAATTCTATTTGAAGAAGGTCATTCAAGCATATAAACATTTCATTCTTGAATCCTCTGGATCTGCTCCCATTACCACCAAAGCAATTGTATTGATCCTGAATCAGTGAATGGTCACTTTAAAAAAGCGCTAAAGCCTCAATTGTGGTGACAGCAGCCCAGGTCTCATTATGCCAAGTTCAGCAAGGAGGAGGATTTTTCAGCCAATATGTAACAGAAGTTTTGCTTCACCTTCCAGAAGACCAAAAGTTCTTAACCTTTTTTGTGTTATGGACCCCTCTGGTAGTCAGGTAAAGCCTATAGAGCCTTCTCAGAATATTGGTTTTGTTGGCTGCATTCATAACGGAATAAAATGCTAAATTTCACTTCAAGGTTAGTGAAAATAAAGGTTTAACTTTTTCCCATCCAAGTTCACAGACCCTCTTAAATCTATCCACAGACCATTAATTCCATGTTAAGATAATAAAAATGATGATGATAATGATGATAGCTGTCATTTATATAATGCCTGTGACAGACAGTATGCTAAGCATTTTACAAATATTATTCCATTTGATCATTTAAAAACCCCTGCACTGGATCTAACGGAATTTCACAGCTTCTCCAGACCAGGACAGAGCTAGCTCAGTTCAATACGGTCAACAATTTTTTTCTCGGCTCTTTTGTCTACCTACCTCTATTAGATGAAAATATGTGATGAGACAAAGGAAGTGTCATGGTGCCCACTCTCTATAAAGTAGAAGTAATAAGGTACTTTGATAATACAACTGTAACTAGGTGGTATAGTGTATTGAGCATCAGGCCTGGAGTTAGGAAGACTCATCTTCTCAAGTTCAAGTCTGTCCTCAGACACTAATTGTGTGGCCCTAGGCAAGTCATTTAACCCTGTTTGCCTTAGTTTCCTCATCTGTAAAATGAGCTGGAGAAGGAAATGGCAAACCACTCCAGTATCTTTGCCAAGGAAATCCCAAATGTGGTCATGGAAAAGTTGGACATGACTGAAAAATGACTGAACAGCAGAATGGAAATTTAGGGTATTATAATGCTTATGGATATTATGATGAAGGATAGGTTAGATGGAGCTAGGACAGACAGCAGAATCCAGGGATCTAAAGTACAAAGTCCATTATGCTTTTTAAAAAGCCTCTCTAATGTAGAATGTATCCCCATAGATTCCAACACAGGGATGACCAAATATTCTTGACCAGCTAGATGCCTAATTACTTTTTCTCAAATATTTAATGTCTCTCTTACTGGCTGTGGGACAGTTCTTTAAAGCCAGAAAGGCTTTAGAGATTATCTGGTTCTATCAGTCATATAGACTGGTCAATGGTAGAGGTTCTTGAACTCTCATTCCATCCCTTTTTCCACTATACTGATATTAAATGATTCAACCTGCTATTCCTTTCAAGTATATAATAAAGTTATCATGTAAATTTCTTTTTTCCTTTTGTTCTTCTCCCCAACCCCCCACCCTAGAGATGGCTACCATTAGACACGGATAGGTATGTATGTGTATATATACATATGTAAAAATTATTCCATATATTTCTATTTATCAATAAGACCCTCTTAACAAATACACACAGTCCAGCAAAATAAATTCCCACATTGGCCATGTCAAAAAAGATATATCTCTCTCTGTATTTTAATTGCATTCCCTTTCTAGAAAGAGAGTGATGTCCTTTCATCTTCAGTCCTCTGGACTCATGGTTTATCATTGTATTGATCACAGGTCTAAAATCTTTCATTTTCCTTAACAATCTTGTTTTCATTGTACAAATTGTTCTCTTTTTTCTGCTTACTATACTCTGCATCAGGTCATAGAGATCTTCCCAGTTTTCCTTTGAAACAGTCCATTTGGTTATTTCTAATAGCACAATAATATTCCATTATGGTCATATACCATAATTTGTTTAGCCATTCCCCAATACATAGGCACCCTTTTACTTTCCAGTTTTCAGCTGCTAAGAAAAGGGCTGCTACAAATATTTTCGTAGATCTTTTCCTCCCTTTATTTGATGTATTTGGGGCATAGGCCTAGTAGTGATATCCTCTACACCAATTCACTGTAACAATGGTGACACAAAGATGATGAAGGCCAAAATGGAATATAACTCAAAAGACCCATGTGGTAGAAGAGTGGATTCATGATAAAAGAAGAAAAAGCATGTAATTGATTTAGAAAAAAAAAGTCTTCTAATGATCAGGTTTACTCAGGAGATCAGAGAAAGGAAAATGTGACTAAGGAGTGTTGCTGTCAATCATTAGGTAATTCAAAGGGAGAAACAGAAAGAGCACTCTTGCAAAATGGTAGCCCACAGGGTGTGACACCGAAGCGAGCCTCTTGCTGTTGAAACCATCTTGCTTTGCTGAGAAGGGCTCATTTGCTGAGCTTCCACAGATGCAGAAACATGGACTCAGCAGGTTGGGGAGCTGATTGAAGGTTTCAATCGTGTCACTTACAAGAAGAATTTGATAACCAATTCAGAAATGAATCTCTCTCTTTTCCTATCTTGATGAACACAGCCCACCAAGTCTGTTTTGACTGTTCCAAGAGTGTGGTCTCACTCCTTTTTGGTAATGGAGCGAATATATTCAGTTTGCTTCCAAATATCACAACCTTTCAATCCGAGCACTTATGAAGTTAAAAAAATGTGTATTTTTAAATGCCTTTGGCTCACTAATAGAAACGAATTGTCCAGAAGGGAGGAGTAAGAAGGGTAGTTCCAACTGAATAGAATTTGGTTTATTGAAACTTACTTTTTAAAATGTCAACTTTCTTAAAGATCTGCTACTGATTAACAATAATATCTGACATTTGTATAATATTTTTCTTTGCTCAGGTGATTACCTTGTTTTATCTTCATAACATCTCTGGGGGAAAAAAAAGCATCCAGGAAAAAAAAACCCCACCAGACTAGACAGGAGAAGATCTGGGTTCTAAACCCTGCTCTATGACTTAATAGCAGTAACACCTGCCATCTTACAGAAACTTTGTAGACTTCAGTTTGCCCATCAATAAAATGAAAATAATATCTGCCCTGCCCACCTCACAGGGTTGCTGTGAGAGTGAGATGAGATAATGTGTATGAAAGTACTTCAAAAACTATAAGTTGTTATGCAAATGCATTCTTACAGAGGTATTACAATGACCATAATATGCATTCAGATACTACTCTAAAGTTGGCAAAGCACTTTTCTCAGAGAAATCCTCTGAGGACCTAGAGGTGAAGCCAGTAATACAAATATTCTTATGTACATCTTACAGAAGAGGAAACTGAGGCTTCCACAGGTTGTGACCTGCTTGTGAACACAGCTAGTAAGTGTCCAAAATGGAATTCAGACTTTGATCTCCTGACCCCAAGCTCATTGCTTTAGCCACTAGAACAGTGGGTTAAGTGATATTAAGGAAATTAAATCCAAAGAGGTCAAGTCATTTGCGCAAGGTTAATTACTAGTTGAGCTTGGTGAGTGTTCTGATTCTTATTCCAGGGCACTTTCCTTAGACCAGGAATGGGGAAACTTTATTTTTTCTTTTTAATTGATCTGACAGAAAATGTCGATTAGGGATTAAATACAACTCTCTGCCTCTCTGTGTGTGTCGCTCATGCTCTGTCTCTCTGTCTGTCTCTATCTCTGTCTCTGTGTCTCCATGTGTATCTTTCCCTCTTCTTTCTCTGTCTCTCTCTCTCTGTCTCTCTCTCTCTCTCTCTCTCTCTCTCTCTCTCTCTCTCTCTCTCTCTCTCTGTTTCTGTATGTGTGTGTGTGTGTCTATCTGTCTGTCTCCCCTTCCCTCTCTACCTCTCTTTTCCCCTTCTAACTCTTTATCCTCCTCCTCCTCCTCTTTCTCTCTCTCTCTGTCTCTCTCCTCCCCTCCTACTCTGTCTCTCTCCCTCTCCCTCTCTCTTTCTGTCTTTCTCTATCTCTCTTCTCTCATAACAATATCTGCACTACCTACTTTAATGAGTTGTGACCAAAATGTTTTGCAAACCTTCAAACAAAATATACATTTGAATTGTTATCATTATTACTGCACCTCTTCTGAGTCTGCCTAACCTTGCCCTAGCATCCCAGCATAGACATTCATCTAGGCCAAATAAGGTTCCTCTTTCAGTGAGCCTTTGGACTTGAGATACTTCATTGTAACCATCCCAGTGAGGTTAATGACTAAAGGTCATCTTTCAAATATCTCCCCAAAAGGAGGTTCCATATCCCTCTTTGGTAAGACAGCTCAAAACCCCTTCATTTAAAAATGTCTTCCTAATGTTGAATCTAAAATCCTCCTTGCCAGAGTTTTAGTCTATATTTTCTTGCTCATTCATTATCTTCTTCTTAAAGAGTACCTACTATGTGCAGATCACAGTGTTCAGTGTGAAGTCCATAGAATCAAAGAATTTATTAAATGCTTACTGTGTGCCAGGCACTGTGCTAAGTTCTTGGGTTATAAATGCAAAACCAAAAACATTCCCTGACCTCAAAGACTTTATATTCTAATGGTAGAATGGTAGAGATAACACACATGAGGAAATGGTACTCAGGGAGACTTTTGATTTAGAAAGTCACAAGTGGGGGAATAAAGTGGCATACCCTTTCCAGAAGCAATGGCAGAATTGATATGATTGTGGTTCCAGAATTGGAACGAGTAGATAGTGGCAGGATATGCAGCTTGGCAGAAAGGGGGTTGGTGACAAGATGGCCGATTGCTAGGAAAATAGGGCATAAAATGAATATGGAGACAAAGATAAACTTTTTATGTTTCCTTGGAAGCAGTGACAGAAATAGGAGATGTGACAGGAATGCAATTTCAGGATCTCTCAGTTCCATCAGCCTGGAAACCTTTCAACAATATAAAAAAATAAAAATGTCATAAATCAATAAAAATACAATATTTCCAACATAATTTCTGTACCAAATCATTTCTGAGAGAGCTACTATTCAGTCTTGCCTTCATTTTTTTCTTTGACCTTTTTAGGTGCCATTCTTCAATTTTTCTGTTATTTTGTTTCTTCACGTTCACACATTTTTACAAATTGCACAAGCAAACACTAGCAGCACACCAGGAGGCGTGTGAGCAATGACAACTGTATCAGAAGAATACCTTGCACTTCCCACATATCTGTTCCTATTTTTATCTCCTCACATTCCCCACATCCCCGCACCATCCCCACACCCCCAGGACCACATTCAACTCTCTTGGCAGCAAGGAGTACGGTTGCTGACTGACCCCAAGGTCTTTCTCACCTGTACTTGGATATAATCAAAGTTTCTCATTTTGTATTTCTGCAGTGTTTTTCTTCCCCAAGAACACCATCTTGCACTTGTTCTTGATTGAAATTCTTTTTTTTTTTTTGAATACTTCTCTACCTTGTCAAGGTTTCTTGGGATACCAACCATACATGGATAGAATGTTGGAGTTGGAAAGGATCTTAGATGTCCACTACACCTTCCAATACAACCCCTTCTTTTACAGATTGGGAAACAGAGACCCAGAAGATTGTGACCTTCTCAAGGTTATAGGGATAATGGGATAGATATTTTGTCCCAAGTCTTGATCATATATACTTTGAAGGATATAGTCCTAAGATGTTGCCTAAGGGACAAGATATTCTTAGAATCACAGCTATGATATCTCAGAGTCACACATGCAAGATATTCTCAAAATTTCTATGACTGTGTATTGTTGATCTTGTTAATGTTATTATCATTACCATTTTTATTATTTTATTGAAAGACATGAAAGGGCATATCTTCTCTACCAATTTTCTAAATGTTTCAAGAGTATAATTTTAAGCACCTTGATATGATATTTCAAACCAATGTTGAAACGATATTTAACCAAAGAAAAGAAAACATGTTTAATAGAGGATCCAGAAAGTTAAAAAAAAAATTAGTCAATTCAAACATTCTTTCATCCATTTGACAATAATTTATTATTTATTTTGTTGTGCAAACCTCCATGAATTATAAAAGTTTGCCCCAATCTTTCAGCCTCACAATGGCTGTTGATATTTTTCATCTTTGTCACTTACAAATGCTCTGTGTTAAATGAAAATATTGACAGAGCTTCGTTAAAATAACAAAGTACCCAATTTTCATGAGATTACGCATGTATTTTGACCCTGAAGCAAGTAGACATGACATTCGGTTTTCAATGTGGTTTTCAATCAAGTTTCTGTTGTCTTCTGCAAACAAGGAAACCAACCTGTATCTAATTTGATGCCTGTAAATTTCCACAGATGTTTGCAGAAGACTATGTAGTATACAGGGTAAGGCTTTTCAAAATGTTTTCACATTTGTGACTTTAAATTCTATTGCTCCTATGATAATTTTAAATTAAAATTTCCATTGACCTTTTTCCCCTAGAGGTGTGAGCATAGCATAATGGTTTCAGTAATTCTGTTTGTTTGATTTTTTTTTAAAGGTATCTGGACTGAAACGTTTCACATGTCAAACAGTCAAGTTTGAAGAAAGTAGTTCAGCTACATCTAAATATGCTGACGATCAACGTTAGAAAAAAGAGAGCTCACCATGGTCGTAACCGTTAAAGTCCATTTGATCCCAACATGTAGAATTCTGTTCTACTAGTCCTTAAAGGAGAAAAACAAGAGAGAAATGGGAGAACTCTGCTCCCAAGTAGCAAACGGAGTCCATTGTTTTCTTGTCTACAGAGACCCAGTTGGGAGTGTTTGCATGGGGAAGTAGGAGCTTATTGGAAGGGGAAGATCAAAAATGTCTCTTAGTTGCACAGGAGGGAGAGGGCAAAATCCAAAACATCCACATGGATGGATAGGGGGAAAAGATTCACTGAAAAGTTCATCCAAGTGGTAATTTCCTGTTTTAAGTAATTTTATCCACTTCCTTCCTCCAAAAAGAGCTGCCCCAGGTTGTAGGCATTCTGGGGGTCAATACTCACTCAGAACCTTGCATGGTTCATAAACCCCCATCACTATGGAATCTCCTTGACCTTCAGGGAATTCCATCTGGTAAGGGGAAGGAATTGGGTCACTTGTGAGAGATGGATAAGGGAGACCTTGATGCTGGTCATATTCCCACTCCAATCCCATCCTTTAGCAAATGCCAAAGTGCCACTGCTCCTGGGTCCCTGCTTCTTGCTCCTCTCCTAGCCTAAGCCTACTTTTCAACTGAGGTCCCAGACTGCGTGGAGCAGGTTGGGTAGAATAACTGACAGTCCAGCCACACTGAACATGGGAAAGTCCATTCTTCCTTACCTCCCTGCCCATACAGCTATCAAGTCCTCATTATTTCTGACCTAGCTTCTTGTACTAGCCTTGCATCTAGTTTCCCTGCCTCTGGCCTCTCTCCTCTCTAGTTCATCTTTCATATGGCTTAATAATTTTCTTTTTCTTTACACTTCAAAATATTATTTAGTTATTTATATTCTTTTCTTTTTAAATTTTGTGTTCCAAATTCTCTCCTTCCTTCAATCCCTCCCACAACTCCTGAGAAGGCAAGCAATCTATCAATTATACATGGGAAATCATGCAAAACATTATTTCCATATTAGCCATATTTCAAGAAAAGAAAAAAAGTGAGAAAATTATACTTCAATTTGCACTCAGAATTCACCACTTCTCTCTCTTTTCATCATGAGTCCTTTGAAATTATCTTGGATTCATTGTGTTGATCAGAGTAGCCAAATTTTTTTTTGCAGCTGATCATCATTACAACGCTGCTGCTACTGTGCACAATGATCTCTCATTTCACTTTGCATCAGTTCCTATAATTCCTTCCGTGTTTTTCTGAAACTACCCCCCTCATCATTCCTTATAGCCCAATAGTACTCCATCACAATTAAATGCCACTCCCCAATTGATGAGTATCTCCTAAAATTCTTAATAATTTTCTTAATGAGCATATCTAAGTATGTCACTTCCATGCTCAAAAATCTTTAATCATTTCCTATCACAAATGTGATAAAATAAAAGTTCAGACTCAGAATTTAAGTTCTTTACAATCTGCTGCAAATTATTCTTCTAGCCTTGCTTATTTTCACACACTCTGTATTTCTGGTCTCATCCTGTCTCATCTCTATGCCTCTATGTAGACCACTTATCATGTCTGGACAACTCTCCCTTCATATTTCTTCCTGTTCAAATCCTTCTTTTCCTTCTAGGCCTAGCTCAGGAGACACCTCCATCACAGAACCTCCAACACTAAGGTTCCATCTCAGAGCCTTTTCATAAAGGCTCCATCGTAGAACCTCTATCATAAAGGCTCCATCATAGAACCTCTATCATAAAGGTTCCATCATAAAGCCTTTTCTGATCTCCCAATCCAAAATCATCTTTGACTTTATCATGTTTTACCTCATAGTGTGCACCTATCTTATCCTTTGTACTAAATTATAAGCTTCTTTAAGGCAGTAAGTGATTTTTTTTCAACTTTGTATCACCAACAACTCCCAAAGGGCTTTAAATTTTTTTTAGGGGCTGAAGGAAAAAGGACCCAGACCTGTGATTTCATCCATGTAGGAAATTTTCCAAATGGAAACCTCCCCCCCTCCAATGAAAAACAGGCAGCTTATCTATAACTCAGAGTCTCAGAGAGTTGCTTAGGGCACTAAAAGGCTAAGTGATTTTTCTTATAGCCAATATGTGTCAGAGTCAGGAATCTGGTTTCCTGACTGGTGTGAGAGACTTGAATCCAGGTTTTCCTGACTCCAAGTCAGTGGTATGCCAGAGCCAGCTTCGAATAGCTCAAGAGACCCTTGTTCAGTTTTCATTGGGAACATTTTACAATTCAGAAATTCACAAAGGCTACAAATAAGAATTTGTTTGATTATTTTGTTGATTTGTAGACTTAAGAAAATAATGGCAAAAATTTTAATGAATTAAATACGTGTGTGTCCTGTGAACATTTTTTTTTTGGAGAGAGAGAGAGAGAGAGAGAGAGAGAGAGAGAGAGAGAGAGAGAGAGAGAGAGAGAGAGAGAGAGAGAGAGAGAGAGAGAGAGAGAGAGAGAGAGAGAGAGAGAGAGAGAGAGTCAGCTGTTAAACATTTACCAGCACACTCCTATTCCAAGGTCAACCAACTATTCCCCATGCTACCTCTCACTTTGTACATTGTAGTGACTTAATAAATATTTGTTAAATTTAATTAAAGTGAAACATGAGTGGGAGGTTTGATTTCTAATGCTTCTTTCAATTATGAAATTTTATTATTCCTCTTTTACTTAATAGTGAATATGAGAACCTGGGATGTTCAGCAAAACAAGAGTTTTGAAGCTATCATCAAGTTTTTGAAGGACTAACATATCAAAATGGAAATAGACTTATTCTACTTGGCACCAGTGGGCAGATCTAGAAACAATGATTGCAAGTGTCAGAGTGAAAGATTTCATCCTCATATAAGGAAAAACTTAGCAGTGATTAAAGCTATTCAAAAGTGGAATGAGCTGCCTTGATACTCCCTTAATGGAGGCCTTTGCAGAGAGATTGGATGATTGTTTTGTTTGGAATACTGTGGAGCAGATTACTACATAAGTAAAGGTTAGATTATTTAGACTTTTGGGCCCTTTCCAACTCTGAGATTCTATGAATTGAATGGAATTAAATTTTGATCAAAAGTATCATCAACATTCACTTCCATAAGATTTTGAATTTTAAATTTAAAGCTAAAAATAAATAAATTTAAAGAAAGGAAGAAAGCATCATCAATAGAACCATTTCTCTTACCAAGCTACCATCTCCCTGGTTTGACCCTAGGAATTCTGCTTTCTTTTTATTTCTCTCTTCAGTCTATACCACAAGCCCTGCTCATGGATATTCTGTACCACTATACTTTTGATAAAGGAACCTCTTATTCCCTCCCTTCTTATCTTAGCTTTTTTCAAAGGTTATATTGTCTAGTCCATATCTTTTTTTCCCTCTTTCTCTTCAATACAATTTTTTAAAAATAAGCATCACATATCCCTTTAGAATACTGTTTTTCATTGTCATTTTCCCATTTGGTCCAACAGAAGGTCTTACATTTCTCCCAACCTGATCATTGTCTCCTTTTATAACATTCCTAGTAAGGGATTCACTGCCTACATCTACCAATTAAAATCCAATCCAGTAAGCCTTTATTAAGCTTTTACTTTGTGTAAGGGCAAAAGCAAAGGCAATCCCTTTCCTCAAGGGGCTTCCATTTTACTGGAAGAAGGAGGATGGTTCTGAACAAATATGCAAACACTAGATAATTCCAGGAGATAGTAGTGCACTCAGTAAAACATGAGTCAGAAGACTCATCTTTCTGAGTTCAAATCTGGCCCTAAATGCTTACTAGCTATGTGACCCTGGGCAAGTTACTTAGCCTTGTTTGCCTCAGTTTCCTCATCTGTGCAATGATCTGAAGAAGGGAATGGTAAATCACTTCTGTATCTCTGTCAAGAAAATCCCAAATGGGGTCACAAAGGGCTGCACACAACTGAAAACAACAACAACAATAATAATGCTAAGAATTGGGAGATTAAAGATGGGTTTCTGCATGAGCTCAGAATTTAAATAAGCCAGAGTCCTAAAAGGCTGTGATGAGGAAGGAACTTGGTACAGTGGAAAGAAAACCTACTCTACAGTCAGAGGATTTGTGTTCAAACCCCATCTCTGATGCTTATTACCTGGATGACCCTTGGGCAAGTCACTTAACTTCTGTTAGCCTGTTTCCTTACCTGTGTAAGGAGAGATTTGTACTAAATTGCTTCTGGTGTCTTTGCCAGCTCTAGATCCATGATGGAGTCTAGGTCTATGAGACAGGCTTGGCAGTTAGCCCAACCAAAATCATGGAGTTGAAAAATGGAATGCAGTCAATATGTATCAGCTTCTATTAAGCAGTTTACATGGTATTTAAGGCTCCACACTTACATTTTTCTATGGACGCCTCTATCCTTGTCTATTCTTTCAGGAGGGAATGGGTTTCCTCTCAATGGAATTTTTCAAGGAGAGATAGAATCATCGCTTGTTTGGAAATACTGTAGAGAGAATTACTGTTTAGGTAAATGTTAGACTATATAGCCTATGGCATGTTGTCACAATTAAATGACAACTCAAGTACCTTCCACAAAGTAGGAGCAACTGTTTCATTGCTAATATCCACTCCATCAAAGTAGGTAGCTAGTAAGGTTCATTTACCATAATGCCATGCTACCCTTGCAACCAACAGATTGCAAAATACCCAGTGTTTCCATTTGGAATCTAAACATTTGGCCCATAGTTAGTAGCTTTCTGTCTGCCCTGCCCTGCCTGCAAGTCTCAACTGCAGGAACTGGTCGCAAAAGGAGGAGCTTCAACTGTAAACAAATTCATCCAAAAAAAGTATCTTTGCCAGTTGGACACACACTCAATCAACGGTTTACCAAGGTGGAAAGGCTTTATTTATAGCTAAAAGCAGGCAGTATATCTGTTACCCAAGGGCCAGGCTAACAAAATTCAGAGAAATTTATCCCCAGAAGGATGAAAACCAGGGGACAGATTTTTTTAAACCATGGCAAATCATAAAACAGATATAAATTTGTAATGCCATCAGCACTATGTAGTCCTTTTCTACTTCTGTTGTAACAGTAATAGAGAGACCAAAGAGTACCAGAAGCCACACCACCTTAACATTTGGGGGAGGGGCTTGAAGTCTGAACCTGTAATTTCATTATTTTATAGAACTCCCAGAATGGAAACTCCCTCCATCAATTTTGTATCTTATGGTCTTAAAGGGTTGCCTGGGACACTGACAGGCTGAATAACTTGCTCAAGGACCATACGACTAACATAAATCTGAAGTGAGACTTAACCTCAGGCCTCTCTGATTTTAAGATGAGCTGAAAATCCACTATGCCAGTGGTCTCCAAACTCTTTTGATCCTGCATCCATATCAGAAAAAAAAAGTTTGTACATATGCCTCAATATGTGTTTACTTATTTATAAATTATATAGTTGTACTACTGTATCAATAATTATAGACATTATAAGACTTTAAAAATTTTAATTTTTAAAGGTTGAAATAAAGATTAAGCAATATTTGGTTCTATAATCAATAGGGTCCTGAGGATTTATGAAGTAGGGGAAAGATTCAGACTTGGTAGCTATGTGGAGGATGAATGGGAGATGGGAGAGACTTAAGACTTGGAGACCAATTAGTAGATTACTATAATAGCCCAGGGAAAGGTAAAGAGAGTTTAAAGTTAGGTTGTGGCCTGAAGTAAAGAAAAGAAGGCAAATATGAGAGATTTGGAGAAAGGAACAAGATTTGGCAACTACCAAATATGTTGGGTAAGGGAAAATGAGTTGAATATGGCAGCAAGATTGTGAGAACCTGGGTGATTAGAAGGATGATGGTGCCCTTGGCTATGATAGAGAAGTTTGGAAGGAAGAATGGGATGGGGAAGAGGAAGATAGCAATGATATCTGTAATTCAGATGGCAATCCATGACCATTCCTGCTCTTCTTTCACATTCATTCTCTCCCACTCAAAATGAAAAGGCAGAAGGAGGCTTCTTATAACCCTAAGGGTAGAGCCCACCATCTTAGAATATGCAATGCAGCCATGAGGTGATCTGTAGAACAAGGAGGAGAGTAGAATTTTGCCAATAGCCCCAGCTGTAGCTACTGCCATGGGTTCTAGGATTCTTGAGAGATCCTAACCCCTGACCCAGAAGGGGAATAGGATGGAAGGATAACAAATGAACAGGAAGGAGTTGGGGATTGTTGGTAGATAAGAATTTATTGGAGACAAGCCCCATAATTTACTTTGGCAGCAAGGGCGGGAGGTTATCCACTCCCCAACCTTCACATTGGTCAATCACATACCTCTTGGAGTCAATCTATGGCCAGGGATAAGTCCACAGTGCCCAGAAGCTATGGTTCGCACTTTTGTGAATAACGCACTATGGCGTCCAGCTTTTCCATATTAACTGTTTCTGATACTTTCTGAGAGTTTATGTTTATATAGAGTTGTGTGGTTATAAATTGCTTTTGTATATGTCATCTCATCTGACTTGCCCTCATTTGACGCCTTTATGGCACATGAGTTAAATTTTAGGTTTCTAAAGCAAAGCTTCACTTCAGGAAGAAAGAGTTTCAGATCCAAACCATATACAATCAAAATACATGACAAGTAACTGCTTCTGTTCTCAACATCTTAGCTGTGTTATTGGTCAGTGGCCCCCAGATCCATTATGAATGACAGGAGAC